TCAGCTCTGCCTTCAGATTATTTCCTGAATTTAACTAGTTTTCTCCTCTTCATTATCATTGCTCTGTGCTAAACCACCAGCTTGTCTTGCTCAGTCTATTGTGATGGGCTCTGAATTGTTCTTATCCTTGCCCTCCCTCAGTCTGTTTTCCACAGACTCTTCCTTCCCCCTTCCCTCCCCTCCCCTCCCCTTCCCTTCATCTTGCTTTGTCAGCCAGGCTACAGTGTAGTGGTGTCATTATAGCTCACTACAGTCTCAAACTCCTGGGCTCAAGCGATCCTCCCACCTCAGCCTCCCAAAGTACAGGGATTATAAGCATGAGCCGCTACACTCAGCCTCTTTTGAAAACATAAATCAGATCATACTATTTCCCCATGTAAAAGCACCCCCATTCAAAGCCCTCAACATCCTTTGATAAGGTCTAATTTCTCTACCATGGTTTTCAAGCCCCCACATGATTTGGCCCTGCTTTTTAAAATTCATCCCTTACCACCCTGCCCCTTTTGTTACATTCTTACTACCCTGGCCTTTTTGCTATGAGGCGAGGTTATTTCCCTCAATTCTTTGAGTCTCTGCTCAGATAGGCCTTTCTTGGCCACACTTTAATAGCATACATGCAAACCCTACCCCTACCACTCTTTGGCCCCTGCTTTCCTTTTCTTCATCATACCGCTATGTGGCTTTCTGTTATGCATTTATTCATTTTCTCATTTATTATCTATGTTCTTCATTAGAATGAGAATCTTTTAGTTCTGTTCCCCATGCCTGTCATCTTCTCTGCTGTATCTCCAGCTCCTAGAACAATACTTAGCACATAATCAGGGTTCAATAAGCGTTTATTAAGCAAATGAGTGAATGAATCTTCACAGGGACAACAGATGAAATCCCAAGGACAGTTGATCACATTATGAGAAAAGAGGACAAAGGGTAAATCTTTGGGGAAAATATTTACACTAAGGGCAAAAGAGAAACCCTAAGGGAAGTGAAATTTCAACTCTAGTTAAGTAGGCATGAAAAGAACACAGTGTGCATTTGGGAACCCAAGAAAGAAGGTGACAATCTGGGCTCATTTCTCTGCCCCAACTATAAGGATATCTTCAAACAACGAACCTGAGCACACCCCCAAACCTGGCCAGACAATGAAAAATCAATCTCTCAGCCCCCAGGAAGAGGTGCTCCCTGTTATCCCGGTGCATTCACATAAAGGGGGTTCAAAGCAGGATCCCTACTGCCTGGGGTGCCCTCGCCTCTGAGCTGGGACAAAGTGGCAGCCCCTGATACCCTGGGAATCCGCGTGGGCTGCTTGTGGCTGTTCTTCAGAAGTCAGGGCGTGATCCTTAAGAAAGCAGTCAAATGCTAGAGAGTGACCCCTTTTATTAGGTTCACCATCTCAGCCACAGAGAGACCATAGTGTTTGTCCATAACCTGAAATGCTCAAAGGCCACAGTGCTGAAAAGAGTCCGGACCTTGAGGCCTCTTGTTGCCATTAATCCTCATCCTGCTGGTCTCTCCCTTTTGCATCAGAAAAGCTTTCTCTTATTTTTTTCCGAAGAGGGGGAGAAAACAGCTGTGTGGGATTTGAGAATGAGATTTTAATGGTCACTGAAGACGCACAAAAGCTTTGCTGTGATAGTGAAGTGTTCTGGGGGCAATTGACTCCTTTGTCTGGGTCAGCAAAACAAACTGACTGCTGGAGGAGAAGAGAGAGGCAAGTGGAACGAGTGGCTGAGGTCTCCGCAGGCCAGATCTTCCACACACTTGCAAAGAACTGCTTTCAAGCATCCCTTCTTGACATTTCAGAGTCGCTTTTGAGTGTTTAGCTCATTTTTACCTTGTGAAAAAAACAAATCTATTTAGAAGGTGCTTGGCATGAATTATTTCTGTAGGTCTTTCTCTCCAAAGGAAGCTGCGAACTGTGAGTGACAAGATGAGTTTATTTATGTGAAGCAGGCCTTTCACTGGGAGGAAAAAGAACGGGTGCCCTCTTTTCCACAAGGCAGCCGAGGGGCATTTCTCAGCCCTTTGATCCGTTAAGAAATCACAACAGATGTGGGACATTGTGAGGCCTCTCCAAATGTAACCTTGAAAAGGCTTTGGGGGTTTAAATAGTTCTAAGGGGGAGTTGACACTCAGAGCAGCAGGAGCCCATGCAGTTACTCGGTTCAGTGAGAACCAGGTCTGGTTTTGTCCACACACAGAGGGGATCTGTCTTCTGCCTGAGGAACATGACAGAATAGACCGTGCCGATCTGACTCTGTTATGATTAATGGGGCTGTTGGAATCATTGTCACCATATGGACACTTTCCCTTTAGGTGAATGAGTATTATGAAAACAACTTTTCCCCAAATGGAAACAGCTTGGGCAGAGGAGGCTGTGGCAGCCTTAGTTTTATTTACTCTCTGGCCAGTCTTTTAGACAGTTTGGCTTGTTAGAGCCACAAAGAATTATTCTCTTATTTACTGGCCTGCTACAGATGCTGGGATAGTCTGATGGGGCACAGGGTAAAATAAAACATGGTGAATTTCTAATATATAATTCAGCCCAGCTTTTCATGGGAGATGGGCTGGAACCAGAGTGATTATGGAAACCACTATCCAATAGGGCTGCATTTAGGGAAAAGTCTGGAATTGTAGACTCTGTTTGCTACAGATTGATGGATCATACTCATTTTAGTGTTGTTTGCCAAGAAAGCAAGAGTTGGTTCACTTTTAATTTTTAATTTTTTTTAAAGATCCAAAATTATATTAAAATGATACATGAATATTATAAAAGAAAATCCAAACAATATACAAAAGCATTAAAATTTACATATTTGGTTGGGTGCAATGGCTCACCCCTGTACTCCTAGCACTTTGGGAGGCTGAGGGGGGAGGATTACTAGAGGCCAGGAGTTGGAGATCAACCTGAGCAATAGAGCAAGACTCCTTTTCTACCAAAAATAAATAAATAAATAAATAAGATTGAGATATTAGGGTAGACTTTAAGGATTGGTTACATTTAATTGTAGAAATAATATTTGAAATGTGGTATACTTTGGCTTACTACCATCCAAAAGCCTCATATTTTTTTTTAGATTATAGCATGGATAATGAAGAGACATATTTATTGTTAGTGACAGAAAATTTTCCATGTTTAATCTTAAGAATATATATGCAAATTGCATTTGTTGAATGGAATGAAAACAAGATTTCCCCCTTTCCAGGCATTGGAAAGATATAATAGCTAACTTTATCATGTGAGTTTTTTTTTTTTTCCTATTTCTTGGCAACTTAAGTATAAAAAAGAATGTGTTTGACCCAAATTCTCCTAGCCCCATAGACAATACTTGGCAGTGTTAAGTCATGCTTAAGTCTGTACTTTTGTTAAATAACCCTTTTCCTCCTTAAACACAAAGCTCTTGATTTTACCATAGGTATATTTCAAAAATTAGCTCTGGGATCTTGGCCAGATTATTAACTGCCCAAAGTCCCTGTTTCTGTAAAATGGAGCTATTAATAGCACCTCAAGATCCTTAGGGTTATACTGAGGAATAAGTGAAATAATGTATGTGAAGTTCCTGGCATGGTGCCTAGTACTTTACAAGCACTCAACAAATGTTAGCCATTAGAAAAGCTACTTTGGTGGCTAGAAGGATGATGTTTGAATATACCTTTACTTCCTCTTCATACCCTAATGTAAGGTATAAATCCAAACCCACATTTAACTAATAACACCAGAAATACAATCAGAAGCACAGTTTATGAATTTCCTTTTTATTTATTCTTTCAGGAGACATTTACCAGGGTTTAGTCTTGGTTATGTTAATTTTATTACAAACTGAAGTGTGCTATTATGTAAAACTCTTGAGATCACCACTCACCCCAGCCAGCCACCAGACACTGAGCTTTTCAAAGTATAGCTTCTGGTCCTGTTTCTCTCCTTTCGTTGCTTTCTTTCTATCCATCTCTCTCTTAGAGATGGGGTCTTGCTGTATTGCCCAGGTTGGCCTCCAACTCCTGGGCTCAAGCAATCCTCCTGCCTCAGCTTCCTAAGTTGCTAGGACTATAGGCACCTGCCACTGTGCCCGGCTCCTCTCCTTTCAATGGATCCTTTATCCGGAGAACACCTGTAAAATCCAAATACCTGGTGGTCAAGAACCTTTTTAGTCATTCCCAACCCTTCTTTTTTCTCTCTCTCATTGATGCATGAATCTTTACAATCTACCCCCTTTCCCATGGGGAGAGGCTATTCACCCTTGAAGACCTGACATAAATGTGACCTCCCTTAGGAAGCCTTACAGACTGCTACCAGCCACATTTAATAGCATTCTCCTTCCTGTTCTTACAGCACTATGTTCAATGAATGATTTTTCTTTCCTTTCTTTACCTTTCCTTTCCTTTCCTTTTCCTTTTTTGAAATAGAATCTCACTCTGGTGCCCTGGGTTGAATGCTCACAGAAACCTCAAACTCTTGGGCTCAAGAGATCCTCTTGTCTGAGCCTCATGAGTAGCTGCAACTACTGCCACCCCATTCAGCTAGTTTTTCTATTTTTAGTAGAGAAGAGTGTCTTGCTCTTGCTCAGGCTGGTCTTGAACTCCTGAGCTGAAGCAATCCACTCACTTTGACCTCCCAGAGTGCTAGGATTACAGGTATGAGCCATTATTCCTTGCATCAATGAATGATTTTCACCTTTATAATCCTTCTGACAGCCCTGTGAAGTAGAGAGATCCGGGAGCTTTTGTATCTCCTCAGCCATCAAATACTTGTGCTATAAACATAATTAGCACCCCTGTGATCCCTTTCCCAAGAAGATCACGGTCGAAGGTGATCACCGACCTGTGATCACCTCTGATAGAGGCGACAGGGATCCTGGCATGCAAAAGTGAACACACTCTGTTTTCAGGGAGTTTGCATGAGGGAGCGAGTGGTCAATGCCATCTATTTGCCATCTCCAGAACCCACGTCATCCTTCCTCAGCCTCTGCCTCCACACTGACCTGATCATTTTCCCCTTTGGCTAGTCAGTTGCAGGGCTGGGACATATTATGATGGAGCACAAGAACGCTGCATTTTTTGTCCAAATGGAACCTTCCAAAACGAGGAAGGACAAATCACTTGTCAACCATGCCCAAGATCAGAAAGTCCTGGGGCCCCGAAGACCCCAGAAGTTTGGAATGTGTCTGACTGTGGAGGTAAGGATGCTCTGTCCCTTCCTACTTCTTCTATCTCTGACCTCATTGTCTAGGCGGCAGGCACAAATGGCATCTCAAGGGCCCCAGAGGATGCATCCTCACCTTGGACTTTGTATGAGCAGGTACCATGCTGGGTTTAGCTTTGGCTCCCTACATACTGGGCAGATGCTCACTTGAGCAAAAAGATGAAAATGGGATGGAATACCCTGGCAGAAAAGTACAAATGTGCAATCGTAGCTTCATTTACTGTAAACATGGATACTTGAGACCAGAGCGATCTCCCTGTCTGTAGGAACCGTTTGAAAGGGGAGAGAGAAGGTCTGGGTTTTTTTTTTTTTTTCCAGCTTTGGTCTCAGACGTCTAGCTTTAAAACAAATGTAACCAACTGGTTATTTTGTTAAAACTGGGACCTCCTCTGTAAAGAGTTCTCAATCACCTCTTATAAGATGTTAACTTTGAAGTCAAGCTCAGTTAAGTTCTGAGGGCTTCTTTCTTAATTTTATTATTATCATTTTGTTGTTATTTAGACAGAGTCTCACTCCGTCACCCTCAGTAGAGTCCATTGTATCATAGCTCACTGCAACTTCAAACTCCTAGGCTCAAGCAATCCTCTTACCTCAGCCTCCTCTTACCGTAGCTAAAACTAAGGTGTCTGCCACAGCGTCAAACTAGTTTTTCTATTTTTAATAGAGACAGGGGTCTCACTCTTGCTCAGGCTGGTCTTGAACTCCTGAGCTCAAGAAATCTACCTACTTCGGCCTCCCAGAGTGCTAGAATTACAGGTGTGAGCCACCATGCCTGGCCTATTTTATTATTAAATGTCTTCCTTTTATTAGATAGGAGAAGAGCAGGCTGCATTGACATTCTGTGAGCTCAAATGGAAGGTGTGATCTGAGTAAAGATTGTACCTTATGGACACAGCAGAGTGCACAGGGTCCCCTGTGCTGCCTCCCCTTGGAGTGACTCCCAGCCCTTACTTTGGTTTCCACCTAAACTCAACTGCAGAGCTGTTTCTGGCTTAAAAATCAGATCCTCAGATTGAGTGTGTGGTCCATTATAAAACTCCAGAACTAACTGCAAGGTTAAGGGGGGATTTTTTGGCATCTATTCATCCTTGCATGTGACCTTATTAAGATATATTTACAACAAAAAGATAATAGTAATCAGAGCTAATATGTACGGAATACTTACCTATGTCAGGCATCTTGCTAAGTGTATTATATTAATTATTCATAGGGTTAGCCTTGCGGCTTTGTGAGGGTAGTGTGACTCAGTTAAAGTCCCACAGCCAACAAGTAGGCAACTCAGAGTCAGAACCCAGGTCTGACCGGCCTCAGACTCCTTCCTTGGGTGTGTGTTCTTTCAGTGCCATCATATCTATAACTTATTGGGAAAAGAAGGCCATTAAAATTAATAGAGGAGATAACTTTTTTTTTTTTTTTTTGAGACAGAGCCTCAAGTTATTGCCCTGGGTAGAGTGCTGTGGCATCACAGCTCACAGCAACCTCCAACTCCTGGGCTCAAGCGAGTCTCCCGCCTCCACCTCCCAGATAGCTGGGACCACAGGCGCCCACCACAACGCCTGGCTATTTTTTTGGTTGCAGCCGTCATTGTTGCTTGGTAGGCCTGGGCTGGATTCGAACCCGCCAGCTCAGGTGTATGTGGCTGGCGCCTTAGCCGCTTGAGCCACAGACGCTGAGCCAGGAGATAACATCTTTTAAAGACTTAATTAATAGGGGAGAGATGAGTAGGAATACAAAAGACAACATATTTTTATAACATCTAGCCAATGACAAGCTAATTTCTGGCGAACATGTACTTTTAGAAATCCTTTTGTTTATGGCTATGTTTCTTGTCTCAGATGTAAGATATGTATGATGTGACTTAGTAAGTACAATTGGTAAAACAGAGGAGACCCTTGGGGCACTCTTTCCATCACTAGGATATAATCAGCTAGGTGAGGGTTACTTCTGGGTTGAATTACCAGATTGATTCCAGAGCAGAGACCTCTCTCTCCTGTATTGCGTGGGTTGCCTGGGTAGTGGCTTAACCCTGAGACACACCCAGCCCTTTCCATACTTTGGAAGCAGTTGAAAAGTTTGGGAGCAGAGGACTCTTGGCCTCCCTCTGTGCATGCGCTGTGTGGCCCTGCGTGTAAGCATCAGGCTGTCACATGCCACTGACTCAGGGTCACCGGCAGAGCAGGGTTGACTGCATGTGTCTCTCATGGGGGTGCTGAGGTCAGCACCAGAGAATAGGCCTAACCAAAGTCTCATCTCATCTGGAGAATGGTGGGAAAGGGTCTGCCTAGGGGGCCTTCTCACTTAGGGCTGTTGTCCCCCTAGGTCTGTGTCAACCAGGTGAATATTCAGCAGATGGCTTTGCACCTTGCCAGCTCTGTGCCCTGGGCACATTCCAGCCCGAAGCTGGCCGAACGTCCTGTTTCCCCTGTGGAGGAGGTCTACCCACCAGACATCAGGGAGCTACATCCTTCCAGGACTGTGAAACCAGAGGTGAGCCCTTGGCAGCTTGGCTTTGTCTGCAACTAAATTTCCCTGTTAAGTACCATGGGGGTCTGTGAAGTTCTAATCAAGCCCAGCCCAAAGGTGCCCTCTGTGGTGGTCCAGGGTCTGGGGTTCATGTCCCCAGATTCATCTTCCCCTACAAGATGTGATGGGGGGCACTGGAACTCCCTGGATAATGTCTCCTCCAGCCACCTGGCCCCTTCAGGTGAGACTGACAAAGGATCAGGCACTGGTGAGCCCACTGTACACACAGGCTCCCTGGGCGCCTTCCCTTCAGCCCTCCTCTATCTCAGCTCCCTGACCTAGAGCTTCCCCCTCCAGACCACACTCCCTGCCTCTTCTCAGGGAGCCCAACTTGACACCCAGTCTTGGTTCTGTGTCCCCTCAATACTCACAAATGTGCTCTGCAGAAAGACTTGTGTTGCAATCATTGATGCCTGGACTCTGTGAACCATAAACTCTTTGAAGATGTATACATCTTTTCCTTTTTATTTTTCTGAGTATCATGAGTCACACTCAAACTGGCCATTTAGGGAATTAAGTATTGATTAGCCCCAGATTGATAGGAAAGCTCTGCTTCATTTGGGCATAGTTTATTTCATAAACTTTGAAACTATTTGTGCTGCATTTGACACAGTCTTTTTTCCTCCCCCCCCCCCATTCTTTTCACCCTTCCCTGTCCCCATAGTTCAGTGTTCACCTGGACATTTCTACAACACCACCACTCACCGATGCATTCGTTGCCCAGCGGGGACATACCAGCCAGAATTTGGAAAAAATAATTGTGTTTCCTGCCCAGGAAATACTACAACTGACTTTGATGGCTCCACCAACATAACCCAGTGTAAAAGTAGGTCTCTCTGTAAGGCTTCTCTTAAGAGGGCAAGTGTCTGGGTCCAACTCAGGGCATGGGGCAGGGGCCAAGGGTCCCAGGTTCATTCAGAACTATGTAGGCATTAGCCCAGCGCACAGCTATGCAGATCAGCATGGAAGGAGAGCCCAGCTCATCCTACAGAGACACTCACCTTTATATTGATCCTGGATACTTCCCAGAGCTGGACTTGCCTTCAGTTCCTCCCTGGTGGATAATTTCAGGCCAGCTTTGCTCGGCATGCATTGTTTGAGTGCTTATTATGTGCCAGGCACTCAGCTGGGAACTCAGTTGATGCCAAGCAGAATAAGTCAGCATCGCTGACTCTGCCGCGAGCTGTCTGTGGGATTGCCGATGAAGGAGCAATTGATTCATTCTGAAGAGATGGGGAAAGGAGGCTTCTGAAGGTTGTGAGAAAGTTTTGATGGAGAGGGTGGGGGAGAACAGGAGAAGGAGCTTTATGAGAGAGCAGCTGAGAGAAGCACAGACTCAGGAAAGTGAAAGGCTTTTCAGGAAGAAATGCCGGGATCTCAGCATGGAATGTGCTGAAGGGAGTCTCAGGCAGACCCAGAGGGGAAACCTTGAGTGCCAGGCTAAGGGGATTTATTTGTATTTTTCAGGGAGGGAGAAGCAAATCATTTAAGGATTTGCTATTTGAGTTTTCTTTCAAACCATTATTTATAATCAAAATTATTTCATAAAAGCCAAAAGTAAATCTCAGCTAATTCAGTGTCTTTAAGACAGGAATCCCGAGGGGCAAGGAGGCCTCCCCAAACTGAAGGGCACTGAACTGTTTGACTTTTATGATTGGAAGTTTATCTAGTTTTCTCTTTATCTCAGTGAAGTCCTTTTAACAACATCTTTATAAGTAACCATCTAGACTTTTCTTTCTTTTTTTTTTCTTTGTTGAGACAGAGTCTCACTTTGTTACCCTCAATAGAGTCCATGGCATCTTAGCTCACAGCAACCTCAAACTCTTAGGTTCAAGTGATCCTCTTGCCTCAACCTCCCAAGTAGCTAGGACTACAGGTGCCTGCCACAACACCCAGCTATTTTATTTATTTATTTTTTTTTTGTAGAGA